AACTACTGCGCTACACCACACTACATCCAGGAGTTGTGAGTGAGGTGACCGTTGCAACCATTGCAACCACTCCAAAAAGCACAACTCCAACCACCTTTCGGTCCGTGATTCACAACAACCAACCTCTCCTATAGGTTTCGAAGCTTCTGCCACCGCCTTGTGCGGTACTACTGGTGTATATATATATATATATGTATATAGTACAATATACATATGTGTGTATATATATATATATATACACGTACGTACGTACGTACATACATTTTTAGATGATTCTCCACCCCAAAAATGATGATTTTCCATCCAGCCATAGTCAACGGGGGTCTGAAACCAAACATCACATGGCTTCTCCAGGAGGTTTCCGCGGCATTTTCTCCATGGGACTTTACAGTCCTCAGGCGACAGGGGCAGGCAACGATGGCGGTGCAGCTGCAAAATCCCGAGCCGAAAGCACTTGTTTTCGCCAGGAAAAGACACTGAAATGCTGATTTTTTTGGGGCTTTTGTTGGTTTATTCATGGTTTTTGCATGATTTGATGATTTATTGATGGTTTCAAGTTCCCCCAATGTCGCACCCAGCTGATTCAGCCAAAGTGGTGGCTCCACGCTAGGTTTAGATGAAGCCATGTATTACTTCGAGGCCGGACACCCGAAGGATGTGTGGCGCCAAGGATGTGTAGCGAAGGACTACTTACGCTTGTTGAACATGGAGTATTTGTAATTTTAAATGAATTATAAGTTGTACTGTAATATATATATATATACACACATAATAAGCAAGTAAATAAATGTAGATACACACGCATGCATGTGGGTTGTCAACCGCTTACTAACTGGGATGCATCCCCAAGTACTTGCTTGTTTCTATCAGTAAAAATAAGGTCTGGTAATTTCAAAATGGGGCTCTAGGATTTTGACCCTGGCCAACATCGTCAGCTGGTGAAAGTGACTTTAAACGTTTAAAGAAGTTTCATATCGAGAGAAAAATCACCATTTGAGACTAATACCATAGTTATTTGGGGGTTGAAACCAGCAACTGCTTCAGCAGGAGAATCATCCCAGAAGTATCCCAGAAGTTCACATAACTCTCCCAATTTGATTGCTTCAACCATTTTGAAGACAATACCAAAGACAATTTCTCTTTGAGATTCTTCAAAAGCCTCGGTCTGAACTTGCGTCAGGCTGATGATGCAGTAAGGATCTCAGATGTGGGCGAGGTTGCAGACTTGTTTATGCAAATAGTTTTACACATATCACAGTATGTAAATACATATCTATATCAAAAACCATAGAATGTTTAGATATACCTACAACAAACTGTATAACTATCTAAATGTATATATATATATAAAAATATATATGCATATATATATATATAAATACTCGAAGGAAGCTTAGAAGTCAAACTTCCGACAGTATGAACAGATGGGAAAGCAGAGGTGGGAAGAGTCAGAGAAGAGTAAGGAAGAAGAAGAAAGAAGATCAGAGAAGAGAAAGAATCAGAAGAAAGAAAAGGTGGTCGAAGAGGAAGAGAAGTCGCGAGGCACTGTGTTTTTCCAATGTATTGTGGCTCTGGAGGGTTGAAAAAGTAGGCTCGCTAAAGCGGCGGGTGCGCAGCTATCTCACCAGATGAGAGATCAAAAATTGCACGCCGCTGCGGTGCGAAACAGATTTAGAGGTCAAAATGCCAAAAACACTTCATGCCGGAAGCACTTTTGGAAGTTGAGCTGTTGAAAAATTGCACGCCATTGTGGCACAAAGCAGATTTCGAAGTCAAACTGATAAAAGCACGTCGGGGTTTCGGGCACTTTCGGAAGTTGAGATGTGGAAAAAGTGCACGCCGTTGTGGCGCGAAGCAGGTTTCCAAATAAAAATGCTATAAGCACACCATGCTCGGAGCACATTTGGAAGTTGAGGCGTTGAAAAAGTGCACGGCGTTGTGGCAGGAAGCACTTTTCGGAAGCAAAACGTTAAAGACGCTTCCGTGCTGGACCACTTTTGGAGGTGGAGATGTTCAATAAGTGCACGGCGTTGTGGCGCGAAGCACATTTCGAAGTCAAAATGTGAAAAGTACACCGTGTTCGGACCACTGTTGGCCGTTCAATTTTGTGTGGCTGGCGCATTGGATTCCGCACCTTGCCAAAAGTGAGCCAAACGTTTGGGTTTTGTAGCAATTTCAGAAACGATGGCAAGCGTGGGACGTCTGAAGTACAAGAAACATTTTTATCAAAGATGTTGGGAGGTCAGGTGCTGATTTCCTGATAGAGGTTGCGTTTTGGAGCATCGGATCTTCAGGTTTGCTAAGATGATTTTGCAGGACAGGTGCAGCACTTCGTATGACCTGGCCTAATTTTTTCGTGGCAGGTGCAATACTTTACACGGATGGAGCGGGAAAAAAACACAAAACGCGTTGTTATGAGGCAGTCAGCTCTGCACTCAACTTTCCATTTTTGAAGAAAGTCTCGCTGAATTGCTTCTTTTTTGATGTTGTCAACTTCGGAAGTCTTGCAGATTTTTTTCGTTTTGGAGCTGTGAGCATCCATTTCAATTTCTAGAGGAAGTCTCCCAGAAAAGCTTCGTTTTTCAGCTTTCAACTTCCAAATTTCAAGGAGGTCTTGCAGAATTGCTTCGTTTTCAAACTTGCGGATAGACAGAGAGACAGATAGATAGAAAGACAGATAGATAGACAGATAAGTAGATAGACAGATAAACCGATAGACGGATAGATAGACAGAAAGATAGACAGATTGATAGATAGATAATTAGACAGATAGATAGAAAGACAGATGGATAGGCAGATAGATAGGTAGAAAGACAATAGATAGATAGCCCGACACTCCAACCACCGTTCGATCGATCAGTGGGTTTGCTCTGGCATCCATGACTCACAGCAACCAAACTCTCCTATAGGTTTCCTATCTTTGAAACTTTATGTGCCGTACTACTGGTATACATACACTACATACTTCATACATATTCATATCTTTGGTTTTTTGAGCCTTCGTCCACTTGGTATCTTTCGAAGGCAGTGGTGCAAAGGGCCTTTGTCCATTGGCATATGAAGGAGTCTTTGGAAGGGCCAGCAGGCATGGTGAGATCGAGTTGTGTGGTGGCAGCAGGGGGTTTCCAAGCAGATGACGACTTGGTGATGACATGGTATGGATTGAAACCTATGAAATCATTTTGTTTTGGGGACGAACATAAAAAAATGAATAAATTAAAAAAAAAATATATATAGAGAGATAGTCAAACCAACTTAATTTTGAACAGAAAAGGGATACTTTGGGTGATCCATGTGCATATGGTAAACCCAATCGCAACCCTTTCGTTTTGCCCCCCGCAAGTCATTGGGGCGATGGGTTCTGGGCTGGTGAAGGTTGTGCCATCCCCAAGGCTTTCCAAGTGATTTACTTGGAACCGTAAGAGTGGTTTGTGTCCCAAACCAAAAAACCCATGTATATATATATGACCGACATGTATATACATATATGTGACCCACATGTATTTTTTTATAGATATATTCCTATATATGTATATATTTAATTTTAGACATTTTTGCTTTTGTATTTATATATATATAGACATATGTAAATACATGTATATATATATATGTATATATATGTTTAAATATGTATATATATATGTAAATATATGCAAATGTACATATATATATGTACATATAGGTATATAAATGTATATATAAATACATTTATATGTGTATATATATATATATAAATATGTCCCATAAACAAATATATATATATATATATGTATTTACATATAACCCAGAAATATGTTTGTATATCAAAATACATGTATATATATATGTATATATCTGAAAATGTATATATATATATATATATGTAAGTTGAAATGAATATATATATGTTTGTGTATTTACAATATATATATGTATATGTATATATATATAGTTTTTTTCATGTATGCGTATGTATTTATTCATATGTCTATAACATATATTTATGTATATATATATAAATATGTATATGTATATTGATGTAAATATTTTTACATATATTTATATGTGTATATATGTAAATAAAATATGTGTATATATACATATATATATATATATGTATATATATATATGTAAAAAAGCAAAATATTCAATTCTAAATGCAAATGTAAATATAATTATAAATATAAATAAATAAATAAATTAAATAAATAAATAAATAAGTAAATACATATACATATATATATATATATAGTCGGGACTTTCCATGGATCTAACCGAGGTAAACCTACTTACGATGCCTGGGATGCACCCCCAAGTAGGGCATTGGTGCCTCCTACAATTTTTCCTAGATTTCTTAAACTTGGGGTACCCCAAGACCATTGGTCTTATATACTGTCAAAAAAGAAGAAAACTTGAATGGCACCCATTTTGCCCATCATATTGCCATGACCCGTTAAACATCGCTATAAATCAAATTGGGGGTATCCACCATTTTGAAACAAACCCAAATACCACACTTGGTGGCTCACCCCACCTACGATTCCAGGGTGAACCACCAAAAGTATATTACCACATACGTGGTGATACACTGTAGGATAGGGCAGAACATATGGGTAGCATATGGGCAATGAATTTGGCTGCTCAATCATTTTTGAGCAGTTGTAACTGGATTGACCCTAAGTCCCCTACTTAAAGCTGGAGTAAGTCAACCCACAAAGTGGCGCCCCAGTTCGTTCGCTAAGTTGGCAAACTTATCTAGGCCAACGAGGGTTTATGGTAGATACACCAAACTCGTGAGGTTTAAAGATCAACACATTGCATTCCATTACATTCCAGTACATTCCCATATATCTTCATTATTAAAGAAAACATTATACACCCATTTTATCGCTAAGGTGAAATCCGAGTTTTCTGGGATTCATGTCATGAATCAATGATTTCCGTCCTTTTTTCCCAGCATCCCCAGTGATTCAAACAGGCTACGGCCACGGAGGTTGCCTTGCCGCACTCTTGGATGATGCGTACCTTGCCGCTACATGGCGACATATCATGGGGAGAATATAGTATGTGTATATCTATCTATCTATCTATCCGTCCGTCCGTCCGTCCGTCCGTCCGTCCATCCATCCATCCATCCATCCATCCACCTAGCCGTCTTTCCATCTATCTGTCTATCTATCTATCTATCCATCTATCCATCTATCTATCTATCCATCTGTCTATCTGCCTGCCTACCTATCTATCGATCTAGCTATCTACCTATCCATCTATCTATATATCCAGCTATCTGTCTGTCTCTCTATCTATCTATCAATCTATCCATCTATCCATCTATGTTTGCAGTTGACTCGTCAATAGCGGTTTATAGTTAGTCAATTGTTGTGCTTGCATTTTGCAAGCACTCCCTTGTCTTGTGCAAGTCTCGAACTTCTGTTTATCTTTCACCTGTGCCTTCTCTTTCCCTTGCCCCTGGCTAAGTAAGAGGCTCGATGCGCAAATGTCCACGCGTCGCAACGCCAAACCAAAACGCGTAAGACCTCTAGTGCGATCAACTCCTCCTTATGCGAGCGTCTTTTACACGCGTTAATAAAGATGCGTTATTTGAGGTTTCAAAGAAACCCATGGAATATCCAGATGCATGCGAAGCAAATCCAAATGGTTGCTGTGAAACAGAAACCAATGGAACATAAACAAATAAGATGACATAAGCAAATCTGAATGGTTCCTAAAACAGAAACCACTCAAACTGTGTGCAATTTCCAAACATGTATTTAAATGGATGTTTTCAAATCATTCCCCAATGCTCAGGGAACCTTGTGACAACATGCATGCACACATGGTGACATTCCGAATAGGATTCATTTATGCCACCTGATATATTCATGTTCAAGAGGGTGGTGTGGGTGGGATCTCAAACAAATGTTTGAGATATGAAAGATTTTGATGCGTCGCAGTGCTGTCCTTAAAGGCCGGACGGCTTTCACCAACCCCATCTGCCTGGGGTCATCAGTGACTCTCACTGGACAATTTTGGTGTGGTGTGATTTGTGGAATTTTCTGCGGCATCAGTTTTACAATTACAGTCATTTTTCTGTGGCTCTTGTTACAGTAGTGCATGACCCTTCGGACTTCTCGAGACATTGAGTGCAGTCTTGAACGTTTCTCCGCTGGGCACAACTGCTGTGATCTCCTGAACATTGTCTGGCGCCACTACGAGGTTTCGGTCACTGTCTTTCAATTTTTGGATCCTACTGCACAGTATAGGCTGGCTAAGGCTCACATTGTGATCCTCATTGATCGATCAGAAGTGGCTTTGAGCGCAACTGCCAGGTCATTGGGATTAGACAGCATACTTTCAAGTTTCTCAGTGCCTACACCTCCATTGCAGGTTTGGTCCATTCCAGGTAGCAGCCATGGTGGTGAATCTACCATCTCAACTGGATCTGAAGCGGAAATGGGGGAACTCACTGGACTTGGATGAACAAGGGTCGCAAGACATGATTTCTGTCGATTTCAATGCATATAATCAACATTTGCAATCTTGCTGGAATAAGGTCAGGAGAGACAAATTTTTGCTCATGCCATGGGACCTGAGTTTGAAAACCCCACAGGACTTTGTGGCAAAGACTCACGATGTTTTCTGTATTTCAGGTCAGATGCCGCCCCTTCCGATTTCTGGTCAGGCGTCTTCACCGGCTGGAGAGGCTATCGAGGGATCCATGTTTCAACAAGCTGGTTTGAAATTTGCCAAATGCACTGATGACAGAATTTGGAAAGAGCGTCTTAGCTGGGAAAGGAAGTGTGCATACAAGAAGTGGAGCACGCTGATTCTGGAAGACATTGGAGCATGGGAGCTTGGGCGCCAAGTTGCAACCTCGGGCCAACTCAGTTTTGCAAAAGGGGGTCTGATGGAATCCCTGCATGACTCGCTTGGCAACAAGGCCACATCGACGTTGCATGCAAGGGCTGGGCCACTGCTGAGATACGTGAAATTCTGGAAAGAGATTGGTTGCAAGGCTTTCCCAGTCTCTGAACCCATGGTATACGACTATCTCAAAGCCTGGCCTGATGCGGCTCCAAGTGCCTACAGGTCGCTGCTTTTGTCCCTATCCTTTTCATACCATATTTTGGGGCTGAATGGGGGCAACATTGGTTTTGGAAGTGCAAGGATCAAGGGCCTTTCTGACATACACTTTTGTGCAAGGCGAAAGCTTGTCCAGAGGCCGCCACTCACCGTCGAGCAAGTTTCATGGCTGGAGACTGTTGTGAAAGATGTCAACAAGGCATCTTTCGACCGGGTGGCTGCAGGCTATTTTCTTCTGCTTGTTTTTGGTCGCCTTCGCTTTTCAGATGGGACTCAGATCACTGACATGAGACTTGATGCCATTATGGTGGATGGCACCCTGAGCGGCTTCCTTGAATGTCGCGCTGAGAGGACAAAGACATCTCTCACCTTGGAGCGTAAGACCCGTTTCTTGCCGATAGCCTTGCCGTTGGTTGGATTTACTGACCCTTGCTGGGTTCATGCATGGCTTGAAGTCAGAGAACAACAAGGTTTGGAATGCAAGCCCGGGGTGCCGCTCATGACTTCCCCTGTGCAAGGAGGTGGATGGTCGAGGACTCCATTGCCGGTGAGCTCTGGTGGGGACTGGTTGCGATCCCTCCTCAAGGTCGACGACACGGGACCCAAAAGGGTTGCAACCCACAGCTGCAAAAGCACCATTCTCAGCATGTGTGCAAAGTTTGGGATTGAAGGGGTCCATCGCCGGATGTTGGGATACCACTCCCAATCGAAAGACCAATCACTGCTGGTATACTCAAGGGACGCAATGTCTCTCCCGCTCAGGCGGATGATAGCAATGATTGAAGCGGTGAGGGCCTCGAAATTTTTCCCTGATCAGACCAGGTCGGGTTATTTTGCTGAAGGTTCAGACATCCAGCACAACGAGCCCCAATCGGATGACGAAGCTTCAGACTCGAGCCGGGGTTCGGACAGTGAAGAAGATCGAGATCACCAAGACGAAGAAAACGTTGCCGAGCAGGTGCTGGGCAAATGGGCTCCTGAAGAGCCGTTGGAGCCCACCCGCTATGCGAGACACAGGACCTCCAGATGCATCCATGCCTTTGCAGATGAAAGTGGAACACACTACAAATGTGGCAGGGTAGCAACTGGCAACTACATTCGTCTTGACTCAAAGCCTGACTTCGTGTTCCCAATTTGCCAGGGATGCTTTAAGGTATGAACCGCATTTTGCGGCAATGCAACTTTGTGTGAAAGGAAAACCTGGCGCGCAGCGCAGATGTGAAATGTGCGTTTCTGTCGTTAGCCGTTGTTTGAAGCATGTTTTACTGCAGCTGAAAATTCTTGAAAAAGAGTTTCCAGTCCTACACATGCACTTGAAGCCATGATAGCGTTTGTACATAAACACCAGCATGTTTTTTTTTGGAATGCTTTATTCAAATGAATCGGAAGCAATTGAACCACTCCTTTCAAGCAGAGCGGCAGTGGTGAATGGCCCCACGACCGAAGTTTTGGGATCAAAGCAGACCTAAGCTGGTCACGATTCCTAAGCAGGAGTCGGACGAATGTCGTATGGAGACAGTGAAGCTGTTTTCAGACAAAGGGCCTTACAGATGGGACTGGAACAAGCGTCATTTGACCTTTTCTTTCAAAAGGGTTACACAACGATGGCACGTTTTGCTTTCAGCTGCAATTACTCTCCAGGTTCAGCTTCAGACAAACCGTTCATTGACATGGTCAAGGACACCCTGGGAAGGGATGCCACAGCCTTAGAGACAAGCATTTTGCGCAGACTCTTCAGCGAAAGCTATGCCAATGTTGCAGCTGATATCAAAACTCAAACGGAACAAACTGAAGACTCCACGAGCCGCAAGCTGGCCCCAGCCGAAAGGGCTCAGCGCCTGCGGGATCAACAGGCCCGTCTTGCAGGCTTGAACATCCGTGGAAACTATGAGCCTGGAGACACCTTGGTAGATCGATGCTGTGGATGTTATGAACAAGACAGGCTGGTTTACATTGAGTGGTCAGCATGCATTTCACGTGAATTTGAATTGACCAACAATGTGAAGAAGGATGCAAATTTGACTTTTACAAATGAAGGCGTTTTGAAGCTGGCCAAACAGGAAAAGCACCAGCCGGCTGCCACGAGCACGGAGATTCAGGTAAGGTACTGCCTCTTCCAGGCCAATATCCTGAGTTACCGTTTTCATGATAAGTGGACTGAATTCCTCATGGACACCCGAATGACTGAACCCCCAACGGGCTTTCAGCAGGTGACGATGAGACAAATAGAGATTGCTGACAAGAAACTTTTTACATTGTTAGCAGAAGCCACCCGTGAGGGAATCAAGTCACAAACAACAGGTAAACCATGCGACCTGGCGTTTGACAAGTGCTTTGAATCCACCGAAGTGCGCCATTTGCTACAGCCTGGCAACAGCAATGCAAATGCAGGTGCCAGCAAGCCTCCCAGGACACCTCCGAGTGATGCTGCACCGGCCCCGAAAAAGCCGAGGCCTGCAAACAAAGGGAAAGGTCAAGGGAAGGTCTCAGACTTCCAACGCATCCCTCATGATCTGCTGCGCCTTGGAGCTGTTGCCAACACTTCCAAAGGTCATAGGCTATGTTTCAGTTATAATTTGAAGACATGCAATGCACAGACGAAGCAACAAAAGTGTGAGAAAGGCCTCCACCTATGCTGCGTCAAGGGTTGCCACAAAGCCCATCTGGCTTTGGATTGTCCTGCAAAGAAGTCTGAGTGACTATCTGAGGGAGAGCCTGAGACATGTTTTTCAATGCGTGATGCTAAGCATGATGCAGACAGCTCGATGCCTGGAGTTGACCTGAAGCAAGGGTCAAGTCCGGGTTTACAGCAAAACCTTTTTGCCGATGCCTGCATGGAGCTCGAGGGAGCACCAGATGCAAAAGCAGACAGAAAATCTGTCGACAATGCTCAAGGCCGAAGCAGCGCCTTGCCGGAAGTTACGGGTATGGCCAAGTC